GGGTAGGGTTTCCCAGCCTGAGGGAGTGAGGCAGTGGGCAGGGAGGACATGGGGAAATAGAGCCAGAGCACCTGGCTCTCTGCTGGCCAGCTCCAGGGCCCCTTACTATCTGATTTCCTTCAGTCCAGGGACCGGAAGATGGTGGGCGATGTGATTGGAGCCCAGGCCTACGCCTCTACTGCCAAGTGCCTGAACATCAGCTCCCTGATCTTCAGTGTCCTCATGGTCATTATCTGCATCATTATTTTCTCTACAACCTCTGCGGTAGTCTTTCAGTCGTTTTCACAAAGAGTGCCACATTCTGGATTCTAGCTGCCCCAAGTTCCACGGTCCACATCTGGCCCTCCCCCCAGGCTGAGGCCCTGACCCTTTACCCTATGCGTATGCAAATGTTACCTTCACTTGTCTGTCCACAGTGGATTCAATAAAGTGCACTTGGTGGAAACTCTGGCTCTGACTCACTGCTGTCTGGTTCTGTACCGAGCTCACTCTGCTTCCTTCTTGTCTGAGGAGAGCTAGTGTCCTTAACTTGTCAGGCTCTGGTCTCCTGATGTGGGCAGCAGCCGACCTGTGGGTTTTCAACTGATCCAGGCAGAGTGGATCCGAGTATCATCTAACGCTGATGCCATGCTCCCAGGGTGCCCCTGAAGGGTGCAGAACTTTGAACAAAGGAGGCTTCGGTCTAGGAGTGAAGGGCACCCAGAGTCCTTTAAGGGAAAAGAAATCCTTAGCCAAGATATGTCCTCATTTCATGATGGCCTCTTGGATATGACTTCAGGCTCATGGTTTGGCCTGTACACAAAAGTTGTGTGCTGTGAGGTTTGTTGCCCTAACCCTTTCCTTACACACACACACACACACACACACACACACGGCACTCAGGTTTATGTAGGGGCCTGGAGTGGGTGAGGATTCCAGAATGTCTCTCGTGGTCTCTGAGTAGTAGGGAGGACGAAATGACAGTTCTGCTGGGCTCACGGAGGTTGTCTGCCTTGGCCCCCTGCTAACATGCCATGGCATCCCAGGAGTTCCTTCTAAAGGATGCTTCTTTCTGCCTACCCAAGCCTGGTACCAAAAAAATCAGACTGGGCTTCCAATGTCTGCAGGATATTTGGGTCCTGTCCAATAGTTCCTTGCTTCCCTAACCACCATGATGATTGTTGGTTTTTTTGTTTTGTTTTTTTTTTTTTGTTTTGTGTTTTTCAAGACAGGGTTTCTCTGTGTAGCCCTGGCTGTCCTGGAACTCACTCTGTAGACCAGGCTGGCCTTGAACTCAGAAATCCGCCTGCCTCTGCCTCCCAAGTGCTGGGATTAAAGGCGTGTGCCACCACCGCCTAGCACACCACAATGATTTGAATGTATCCAAAATCCCAGGAGTGACACAGCGAGCCCTCAAGTAGAGGTGCAAGTGGCAAGGCCCTGTGGGGCTTCAGCAAGGAGAAGGCCCGTAGTTTTTTTTTTTTTTTTTAAGTATGGTTTTTAACAGGAAGTAGCAGCAGCTGCTGGGAAGGGAGTCAGCTCCCTGCTGTGACATGCCAGTCTGAAAAATTCCTTTAATCTTTTAGAAATCTCATTATGACTCTGACATAAGAGAATTTCACAAGACAGTAGGCAGAAGTTGGAGCTTATTCAAAAAGAGTACCTATGGTAAAATATAAAGCACACTCAGGAGTGTGGGCTTCTGAGGGGTCACTGTTAAGTGTTTTCAGGGAGACTATATAGGATTTGGGGAAGCTTTTGGAATGTCATTGCTTATAAAGGGTTCTAAGAAACTATTCTCCCCTCTCTCCTTGTTCCGTAACTGAGGCTATAGAGTGACTCTGCAGGGACTTTGAATGGGGGCCATACTGGTAAGGTAAAACCAGGAACTGCTGGATCTCTGGTGAGATCTCTAGAAAATGGCAGGTTTATTGTTGGGAAAGGAGAAGGGCCTTTAGAAAGTTTAATTATGTTGGGATTCTTGACTCCAAGTTGGTGAGAGTTTCCAGGCTGAGTGCTTTTCCTTCCCATGGACACATGGCAGGAGGGGACAAGGGGAGTTGTGTGGTAGATCAGCAGGAAGACTTAGGACAGGCTGTGAGTTTAGACTGAGGGTTACTATTCACAGGGGGGAATTAAACAGAACATGACCTCAAGACCTTCCTGAAGCCGCATGAATCTCATCTGCTTAGTTCAGGGCTATTAGGGAAAACAAACTATACCCAATACCCTGGGTACCCAAAGCACTAGGAACTTTCTTGGGCTCAGGGCAGCTCCTCTACCATGAGGGAGAGCAACTACTCAGGTTCAGGAATTTGGTCCTGAGATTTCGGGGTCTGTCCTATCTATCACCAGGAGGTCACAAATCTGATGATATTTGGCTTCTGCAGTGGACCTATTGCTGAGGACGTCGCCCTGCCAACCTGTTACTGGATATCTATACAACGGGCCCCCATAGAAGAGTGGGCAATGCTCAGTGGACAGAAAGCATTGTGGAAGGTGGAACTAGAAGTCATATCGTGGGCCAGTGGATGGGCAAGAAGGACCAGGGTGTCATCAACTGCTTCCGAAGGTGCCAGGGCCCATCCTTCTCTCAGGCCAGCACTGTTCTCATTTCCCAAGAGGCCGACAGGGTGGAGGTACCAGTAGAGGTATCATAGCACACTTAGAACCAGATGTATTTTCCAAAGTTGCACTGGACAGATGTGTAAGTATAAGATGTGTGATGGTGTAAGGGTGTAGGTGCCAGGGTGTGGAGCAGCTAAGAGCACCGATTGCTGGCGAGTGAAGACTGAGGCGCTCTCAGAGATGCACAGCTGAGACTCCAGTGTCTCCAGGTTCTTGGCACTGCCAGAAACCAGAGGAGCACTGGGAGCAAGTTTTACTTTGGGTAGAGGGATTTACTCAAAGGCTGGGAGCTTCTGGATAGTTTCACCGCTGGGTTTTGGAAAGTTCATTCCCTCCCTCTCTCTCCCCATCCCCCTTCTCTCTCAAGACAGGGGTCTGGTCTAGAACTGTGTGGACCAGGCTGGCCAGGAGCTCACTGGGCTCTACCTGCTCTGCCTCTGGGTGCTGGGATTAAAGGTGTACGCTACCATTCCAGGCCTATGGCTAAGCTTTTATTGGGGAATGAATGGATTAGTCACGAGTTAAGGTGGGGTGAAGGGAGGGAAATCCCTGGGATGTCAGGTTTGTTTTTTCTCCAATACAGTCTCCTCCTTCCTTTGTCCTCATGCATAATGGGAGCAAGACATTTTATAGTTCTGATGATATTTAGATATCATTATAATGAAGCAAAGGTAGGTGGAGCTCATCGGCTCAGTTTGGGATGGTCTTGGTTTTCTCTGAGGAGTCACACGTCCTGGGGGAATCCAGGTCTGCGTTTGTGTCAGCCCCACCATGCAGCTTGCCTCTTTCTTTCTTTCTTTCTTTTTTCTTTTTTCTTTTTGGTTTTCAAGTCTGGGTTTCTCTGTATAGCCCTGGCTGTCCTGGAACTCACTCGGTAGACCAGGCTGGCCTCGAACTCAGAAATCCGCCTGCCTCTGCCTCCCAAGTGTGCCTCTTGCTTTCCTTGTGCCTTCTCTAGCTCACCTCATGAGGTAGACATGGCAAGACAGAAGGCAGACCTGTCTGTGAGGTCTGTGAGGGCTGGGCAGATGGCTCAGCAGTTAAGAGCATATGCTGCTCTTACAGAGGACCTGGGTTGATTCCTAGCATCGACCACAGGTGCGCCTGTCACTGCAGCTCTAGAAATTCAACACTTCTGGCCTCTGGGGGCACCTGCACTCATGTGTAGATACACAACCCCCTATATATAATTAAAAATAATAAAAATAAATATTTTTAATAAGAGATCTCTGAGATGAACAGAACGGGCAAAAAGAGCACCTACACAGATGGTGAACACCAAGGCACTGATGTACAGGCACTTGGCAGGTATAGGACTGGGATCCAAATATTACCCATCATTCTCCTGTCCCCAGGCTGGAGGAGACCAGATGACAAGGGACCTTGGAGAAACTCATCTGGGAGTCAAATACTCTGTCTAGGTCCCTGTCACCCTCCCTGACCACTGAAGCCTCTCTACATCAGGTTAGGGGCCCTCTCTCCCTTTTCACGTACTATCCTGGAGGGCCCAGCTCTGCTTGCTTGCTGTCTAGCGATCCGAGTGGGCATGAGCAGGAGGAACCAGGACTTTTGGCCTGAGCAGCTGAGGGAGGCTGGGCAATGGTGGGCGAAGGAGGATTAAGCTCTTGTTAAGGACACTGAGATCTCCTTTACCGAGGAGACTCTTGGCATGTGAGCCAAGAGTTAGACTTCCTGCTGGACATGCATTGAGTTCTTGGCACACACAAGTATCTGAGCCCTCAAGGAAACTATTCCACTCACATTTTTAGGACTGGAAAGGGCAGGACTAACAGCTAAGGAGACTGAAGAGGATCTACCTGGCCAGGAGCTGGCGAGAACGCCTATCACAGGGAGTGGTGAGGAGCTTCCTACAGTTTGCGGTGGGAAGGCGGCATTCTCCTTCAGCCTTCCTTTCTGCCTGCTATCTTCTTAGCCTTCATCTCTAGCAGGTATGTATTTGTTGTCCCAGTTGTGCATGTCAGCAGGTGCCATGATCAAAGCCTGGATTCTGAGTGCCAGAGGGCTGTGGAATATGCAGCTCTAGTTTTGAGGTCAGAGCCCTGGCTGTTCCCTGAAACTGAGGCAGCCTCATGTTCTCTCAGCCCTAGGGTCCACCATGGAACTGTTTGCAGCCAGTGTCCTTGGGACAGCCTTTTTGTGAACAATTGAGACAGCAGGGGGACTCTGGGTGGTCTCCAGTCACTGCCCATGTGGTGCAGTGGCCTTTGGTGGGGTCTTTTGAGAGGGGTGGGGGATGCTGGGGTGTAAGGGCGGGCCACTCCATTTGGCAGGCTGAGGCTGTAATTTGTGATATATATAGCGGGTGGAGCTGGCCAGCCAGGGAGGGTGGTGCGGGGCTATAAGCAGGCTGGGTGCTCAGAGAGCACAAGTCTCAGGAAGACACGGCGCTGGAACCCATGGACACTTCATATCCCCGTGAGGACCCCCGGGCCCCATCATCCCACAAGGCTGATGCTGCAGCCCACACGGCCCTCTCCATGGGAACACCCGGCCCTACACCACGAGACCATATGCTCTGGTCTGTCTTCAGCACGCTGTACCTGAATCTGTGCTGCCTTGGTTTCCTGGCGCTGGTCCACTCTGTCAAGGTTGGCTTCAAGGCTCGTGGGAAGGGAGAATGAGTGTGGGGTGGGAGGTGATGTGGAGTGGGGGGAGGGGGTGCCGGTGGGTCAAAAGAAAAGTCTATGAGGGTGTCTGTTTGCATAGTCACAGTACCTCACCAAGTTTGGATATGTGGACTGTTCACAGGAGAGGAAGGCCTGGCTATATAGTCTCCCTCAAAGGGCAAAGTCCTTAAAGGTTGCCCATAGAGGAATTCCCACTGTAGTTCCTGAGTAGCACCGAGTTCCTGGTTTCCCATAGGACTCCTCTCCCACGGGAGGCTCTCAGAGGGTGCTGCTGACCCAGAATGGCCACTGAGTCTCTATCGGCAGCCTTTATTTAGGCTGACACGATCATGGTTTAGGACCCTGCCAAGCGTCAAGCTGTTGCATGTTAGAGACTGTAGAGGAACTGGGCCCGGCCCAGGGGAATGTCTCCACAAGCCAGAACCCCCCCATCAAGATTTTGAGTTCAGCCTGTGCCCTACAGTTGCTCTGGGTGGTCCTCTAGACACCATGAACATGTTAACCTCTTGGTTCTGGTGCTGCCCTGCAGGCCCGAGACCAGAAGCTAGCTGGGGACCTGGAGGCTGCAAGGCAGTACGGCTCCAAAGCCAAGTGCTACAACATCCTGGCTGCAATGTGGACGCTGGTGCCCCCATTGCTGCTCCTGGGACTCGTGGTGACTGGCGCCTTGCACCTGTCCCGGCTAGCCAAAGACTCTGCGGCTTTCTTCAGCACCAAGTTTGATGATGAGGACTATAACTGAGAGTTCTGAGCCTGCCCTGAACCAAGGACAACCCTGCCAGGTCAGCTGTGCCCAACACCAGCTCCTGGGAGTCATAGCCTACTATGGCACCTCTATCCCTGCCCAGCCATGACCCCAGAAGCCACCCTCTTGTCCACGATGTGTATTCGATACTGACCCACTCAGATCCCTCAGATTTAACCTCTAACTTAGAGGGTCCTCTGTGCCTGGCTTTGCCCCCTTTTGCCACCTACCAGGCTGAGCCTCGTTCATGATTAAAGGTGTCAGATTCCAGAAATGTGTGGGCTCTTCCTTCATGGTGGTAGTTGTGTAGGGAGCCCCAGCACCAAATCATCTGGCCAACCCCCAGTCATCTTATTCTGTCTGCTTGGCTGCCTGACTACTGCTTTTGCTTAGTGGCCTGTGGCTTCTGGGGTGGAGGAGCCTAAGTATTTTAGGATGAAGTTTGGGAACTCAGGCCTTTGATTCCTACTGCCCTGTGGTTTGATGGGCCGTGTCCCAGAACTTGTGAGGGGCGTGCCCTGACTCTACATATGCCACAGTGGTCTTCTTCCCTCCTGGGTCAGTTAGGACTGTGGGGAAGGTAGGCAGAGTCCATTTTCTATTCAGGACTGGAGACTGGATTCACAGTGGACAACAACACTGTCCACACAGACACACAGACATTTACAGCCTGCTTCCCACATTTCCTTACTCACACATGGTCAGAAGCAGACAGGCGGTGGCACTAAGTGAATGTTCTCATGTCAATTCTCTCTGTGTGTCATGTGCCCCGGCTTCCACGGAGGTCTCTGCCTAGCTGCCCGACTTGGAGACTCTAGGTAGTTCCGCACCCTGTTCCGTGCCTGTAGCCAGCAGCTGACCTTGAGGAGCTCCAAGCTACTGACAGTGTTCCAAGCCAACCCTAGGAGATAAGGCCTTTGGCTGATCTATGTGTGTCTGGGGATGAAGCTAGCGCTGGTCACTAGTCCTGTTATGGACCAGAGACAAGGACAGTGTCTCACTGTGCCTAGATAAAGATGGAGGCAGTGTGCTGACCATGAGCCACTGGTCTAGTTCATTAGAAGGTCAACTCCTGCTGGCTACAGGGACTTGTGTGCTCCTGAATAGATGTCTCCAAACATGGGATATTTTGCCAGCCACCATATAGAGTGAGGGATTGCCTGGTCTGTGCCCCAGCGCTAAGAACACAGTGTGTGGTCAAGTCAGTGAAGTGGCAACAGCAGCACCTTCCCTTGCCCCAGGCTGCTAGGCTAGACCCGATTGATCAGCTGTGCCAGCCTACAGGCTCTACCTCCCTCCACGGCCCCAGAAGCTTACCATACTACATGCACAGAGGTGACCACATACGTATAGATAGTATACACACCTAGGTACTGGGCTATTCTATTCTCAAGTGCCATGCCACCAAGCAACCTGCCAATGCTCGTGCCCAGTCCTGTCTTTGAGGCAATAAATGAGCATCCACTCCTGCCAAGGTAGCTCCTGGCCCACCATAGAGAAAGTGGAGGGAGACACAAGGGCCCCATGTTGTCCCTAAACTTTGAAATTACATCACCATTCAGCCCCCGGTGCAAAGGGACATGAATCCATCACACACTCTGACTTCAGCCTTTGCCAGCACTGACTTTAATTAGGCAAGTTGGCTTGGTACAGGGGCACAGGTTTTACCAGGATCATGGTCCTATGCTATGAGCCTTGTTCTGGAGAAACACTAAGAACCAGGAGTGACGCCTGAGCAGCTTCTCAGCCCTGATGGCCAGGACTATGGTCTGGAACCCTGTCCATCTGACTCCAGTTCCTCTGGTCACCAGTCTGATGTTCATCTACCCTGTCCTGTGATAACACTGCCTTCCTTCTCACAGGCTGCATGGTTAAGGACAGCTATCGCCCTAGCCCAGTATGCTAGATACCATCTGACGTCAAGAGGACGTCAAACTAGGAAGTTCAAAGCCACAAACCTTTGAGCACTTGGCTAGCCCTGCCTGGTGCCAACTGCCTGCCACAGGAAGCTCTTGTTTGGTGTAGCTAAGCCCCTGACTCAATGACTTACTTGCTGGCCACTTTCTCAGGAGAGCTGCTGGCCATTTCCCACCTAGCCTGTTGACCAGAGTATTCCAGAGACCGGAGGTGTGAACAAGGAAGTGAAGGCCTAGAGAGACAGGAAGATGGGGAGCTAAGGGGTAGGGTGCTGGGATCATACCAAAGCAAAGGACACATGAGGCTCTAGATAGCCCAGGACTGGAGAGGGTGAGGAGAGGAAGAAGAGAGGGTGGAAGGGACAGAGGGAACACTCTGTAGCCCTACAGCTTCAGGGCAGGATCTGGATTGAGAGATTATGGGGTTGGGGATGTAGCTGAGGGCAAAAGAGTGTCCCGGAGGTACTGAAAGAGACTTCTAATGTCAAAACTCCTATCAGGAAACACTGAAGAATTTCTGGGCAGCTATGGGGGATGACCTTTGTATCCGGCCAGCTGAGTGGGGAAAGGAGACCTTCTGTCCTGCAAGAGAGAGGGTTAATCCTTGAGGGCATGGACCAAGACACCTGGGTCACATGCTCAAAGGCTTTTCCCTACCTGGTGTCAGAGGAAGCCGGGCCAGTGATGGCCACAGCTCAGCTTCTAGCAGAGGTGCCCAGGGCTCTGCACGGGCTGTGACCTCAAGTGTCACCAAGTCCTTGGAAAAGGTGAAGTTGAGCTTGTTCCCCAGGTAGGAGATACCAGAGACAGACACTCTGGAGACCAGTTCTGGACACAGGGGGTCAAAGGTCACACCTGCCTCAGTGATCCTGTGGAGAGAGCTATGTGAAGAGGGCTGGGATAAGTGGGAATTCACCGCTGGACGCTGCACTCACCTGAATCCTGTGCACCCGAAGAGTGTTGCCTGCAGGAAACCCCCCATGCCTGTCAAGAAGTTCACTGCACCAGACCCATCTGCATTCTCTGTCCACACCTGCAGGAAGCAAGGGTGACTGTCACCTGGGGCTATTATCCTAGGGTCAGGTAGGACCTTTACCTTGCTGAGACTACCACAGCGGGAGAAGATTCAGGGAGTGAGTGTGGGGTAGGTGCCAGACTGACCTTGAAGGGCTCAGTGACATTGGCGAAACTCCTGCTTAGGTGGACCTGAGCCCTTGAGGGGTCCTTTAGTTCCATCCAGCCCACAGCAAACATGCTCTGAAGTTAGAATTCAAATAGGAAGCAGTTAGACCCACCATGTGGGAAGGCAGGTGAACACAGTGGGGCAAGACTATGCACCAGGCTCCTCACCCAGGTCATGGCAGGGCCCCAGGGAGATGTCACGGCCTCATAAGTCTCCAGGTTTTTCCTTCGGATGTCAGGTCTCAGGGGAAAGAGGACTGGGTATCCCAGGAGCACAACATCTGCCTGCTTCACTTCTTCTCCTGATTTGGGGGGAGGGGTAGCAGGCTAGGGATAGGTTATTGGTTAAAAAGATGAGAGTGTGTCAGGGTGAGCGTGGGGGTTTGACCAAGCAGAGGGCCTTTAGAGGATTCAGTACCACTCACCACGCTCATAGCCATCAAACTCAGGGTGGAAGTTGTGCTCAGAGTCAAACGGTACCTTGATCCTATCAGCCACCTCCAGCCACTGTTTGGGGATAGGCAAACCCAAGTCCTTGGCCAAAGCAGCAGCGAAGTGCAGGCTGGAGAGGGGACAAGTCACAGTTGCGTGGCTTCTGACTGGGCCCTGTCTGCTGTGCTGGGGCTAAGGGTACGCGAAGGGGAAGTTTTATGTCTGACCTGTTCTGGACCAGGACGTTGGTATACACAGAGTTGTTGACTCCTGAGTGGTACTCATCAGGGGGCATGACTCCTGGTCACAGAGGGCCACATGACAGTTAGTGTAGGAGCTCAGGACATGCCCTTCCATGAGAAGCCCATGGTGAGCTGGCCACTGCACTCCCTGGTCCTCACCTTTCAGGTGATACATCTTGTCGTGGGAGCTCCATTCTACACGGCTGCACCAAAACTCAGCCACAGAACTGACCACATCCCAGCCACCATACTCTTGGAAGAGCTGCTGGTCCTGGAGAGTGAGAACAGGGTAAAAGACCAGGCACGGAAGAGGGCCACTATGTAGGAACACAGAGAAAGCCATGTCTGGCTTCCGAAGTCCCTGTTCACACAGCTTCCAAGGCCCTGGGGTGGAGTGTGTTCGTGAGGTACATGGGCACACATCGGACAGGGCCTCACCCGAGTGTAATAGTAGTAGAGCTGAAAGGCCAACACCACAGCCCCGTTGATGTGGATCTCCTGGGTCCCATAAATGTCCTCAGGGCAGACCTCCAGGCCAGTGTGCGCACTCTCCCAAGCAAACTTGGCTCCCTACGAGGAAAGAAGACAGGATGGTCAGGTCTTGATCTGGGGAGGGGGCAGTCCAGCCCTACCAGAGGGGCAATCTTTTGTGAAGGAAAGGAAAAGAGGAAGTATGGGACTCTTGTGGCCACTGAATGGTACTGGGAAGACCTTGGGGCAGGGGCTTATGGGGTGGTAGCCAGACCCCACTCATTACCTGGTAGCCCAGGTTCTGGGCATTCTTCAGGGCTCCCCCCAGCGTACGGACTCGGTACTCTAGGATGGCCCTGGCAGCCTCTGGATGGAACATCAAAATATTTGGGAACATCCAGAGGTCCTGAGAGATGAACCATTTGGAGGTAAACAGGAGTCCATACCTTCTCTGTCCCTTACTCTTACATACTGCCCATATTCTACCCTGCTCGGGCTTCCAACCAACACACAGCCAAGCAGGCAGCTGGGGGCTTCCTCCGTCCCTACCCTCTGGCCAACCCTTTGCCTCTTCGAGTCCATTTCTTGCTTACCCAGACCTACCTGGGGCCTCCCCAGCTTGCCCACTCCAGTGCTATCTTTCCAGCCTAGATAGCCCAGAGTTCTGGTTATCAGTCCAGACAGTATCAGGAGAAGCTCATGGGTACTAGTTTGCATCAGGTCTCTAGGGTGAGCTTGCTCTCTGACAGTCTGAACTCAGCTTTCTTTGGTTTCATCTGTCGAATGGGCCACAGTGCAGACTTCACAAGGTGTCCGATGTGGGAGTGGCCTTGAGCCTTCCCTCTCACTACTCCTTCACACAGTGGCCACTGGTCTCCATATGCTACAGCACTGCCTTCTCCAGCCCTTGCTTCCCTGCACCTAGCTACTCCTGACAGTCACAGACCTTTCTAGACTGTATCTCTACTTGTATCATTCTTCCACAAAGTCTCTGTGGCTCTTTTAGTCCTTTAGTAAGCTCCAGGCTCGCACCTGGCTCACCCTGAGGTTCTAGTGGTCTTGGCCTGCTGTGAGGTTCCCTCTCTGCCTTCAAATGTTGCACCCCCTCAGCCTTTGGGCCTTCTGTTGCTCTAACCTGGACCACTCTTTTCTACCACAGTGCTACACACCCTTCTTCTGAGAAACCATCTCTTCCAGGAAGCCCTCATATCTAGAGCTCCCATGTTTGGTCTTTATCTCAGGCAGTGCAAAGGCGATGCTGGAACTCTGCATGCAGTTCTCCCTGTGCAGGATAGGATGTACCTGATCCCAGAAGATATGGCCCCAGTAGCATTCCTCCCGACTCCCATTGGAGAGGCCTCCGGGGCTAAGCCCATGGCTGATGGATCCTTGAGTGTCAGGCTGGGGAAGCTCACTGAACAGGTAGTAGAGAGAGGCACGAAGGGCCTGGCGCAGGGCCAGGGGCCCAGCCACATCCAGGCCACAGCCTTCCCAGAGCTGGCCCCAGGAGTCTGCGTGGATTGTATACAGAACTCCCCTGGTCTGCAGCTGTAGGGCCTCAGCAAAGCAGCCCTGGACTTCAGCCTGGCTGGTAGCCACAACTGTCAGAAACTCCCAGGTCCTGTCCTCCTCCTCTTCCCCAAGGGTCAAGGCTGGGGGAACTGGCATCCATAGCATATGCACTTCCTGCTGTGGCTCTCCAGGCTGCTCAGGGGTGAGTGTGTGGCCATGCAGGTACCTGCAAAGGCATAGCTGAATCTTAAGAAAGGACTCTCCTCTCTCTCTCTGTCTACATAGATTTATCCAGTGTATTCCTTACCGGAGTCCCTGGAAGTCTGGCCCCACATGCAAGTCCAGGTCTGGGCTTTCTGGGGAGAAGTCTGCCCGTAATGTCACTGTGATGGGCTTGTTCTCCGTGGTCAAGCGTGCAATGGACACACTGAAGACCAGTACATGGGATAACACACGGTGAGCATAGATGCACTGGGAAGCCCGGAAGCTGGGGCCTTCCAGGGTGTGGAGAAAGGAACCTAGGGGAGGGTTGGGGAAAGTCAGACAGTCAATACCACAGAGCACCAGAACCTTCCTGGGCTGGGAGTGGGGTCGTTCAGACCTCAGGCTGCCTCTCCCCACTGTGTAGTGGGCCCGCCCAGATGAAAAGAAAGCAAGACCAACCACAGAGGCCTCATCTTGGGCAGCCTTTTCATGCTTTTTTTTTCTTCCTTAAATTAAAGGCCATTTGTTTACTTATTTTTGAGCTGGGTCTTGGTGTGTATTGGAGGCTGAGCTCCTGTTCTCCATATTCCTGCCCCAACCTTCCCACTACCAGTGCCAAGGTTACAGCCCCCAGTCACATACTGAATTTGCGGCCCCTTTCTCTACTTCGTGGACAAGTGAGGAGTCCCTCTCACCCATAGCAATAGCCTGGCATGGATTGGTGGCAGCTAACCTGTGTTGGTGTCCAGGGTAAAGGTCTCTGCCAGCTGCTCTGTTCCTGCAGGGGCTTCTAGCTGGACATTGAGGGGGCTGGGTAGAATTGCCCGGTGAGTGTCGCCCCCAGCTCCATTGTATACACCGTTTATATGGATGGTGTCATGATATACACGTGTACCTAGGTACGAGTTTGTCACAGTGGCCCAGAGTCTGGGGTCACTGGGCAGACAGTGGGCACCGAATATGGTTGCATCATCTTCAGAGCCGTCCATGGAAAGCTATCTCAGTCCAGGTGGCCTGGAGAAGACAGTTAACAGTGACTAGCCGGACTTCCCTCTGCAGACTGACAGTAAACTTAGCCAATCCCCATAGACGGGGTGAGGGGAGTAAGGGGCTAGCTGGGTAGCTACCCTAAGAGTTGCGCCAAGAACATTCTTAAATCAAGAAGACTGCCAGGAATTCAACTGAATCTGTAAACAAGCTCCTTCAGCACCCATGGCAGACCTCCCTCTTGTGAGGTCCTGACCCATCTTCCTGACGTAAGATGAGCTGAGGGAGTTTTGTGAGGGCCCTAAATCCTCAGGGAGGTTGAGGCCGGACGGTGGAGAAAGAGGAACCCTGAGATTTGGAGAGGGACAGCAAGAAGAGGCGTTGGGATTGGGGAGGAGGAACCGGATGGGGTAGATGACGATGGTGGGGTGGGGTGGAGGGTGGCCTGGGGCCGCAACTGGGGAGGAGCTGGACTTGCTCGGGAAATGGAAAGAGGAAGCCTGTGTGTGGGCAGGGGGAGGGGGAAAGGGGCGGAGAGGAGGGTCGCGGGTTGTCCAGATGAGAGACTAGGGAATAAAGGGACCAAAAAGGGTTCGGAGTACTTGGCGAAAGAGGGTGAGGGCGGGTTGAGGAAGAAGGTACGGGCTGTTTTTGTAACTCACCGCTGCCCTCTCCAGACAGTACGGGGCCCCGGTGTAAGTAGGCTCTGTGGGTGCGAGCTGCCCCTGGCGGGAGGAAGAAGAAGCTGTCCTGCCGCGTGGCAGGTGGGCGGGGCTGAGTCTAGGCGGAACCTGGGAAACTGTCATGATCTCTGGGGAAGAGACCACGCAATAGGAATAGGGGTTAGTTGAGCTTTGGCTCTAAGATGTATGTAAGGGTGGGACAGACTTGAGATCCCACTCTACAGTGCCGTTTAGTGACTAGAAAGGACACTGGCCATTTAAGGAACAGAACACGTGAAAGAAAAGCCCACCTCACACAAACATGAGAGAGGTGGGTGCTCTGTAAAGGTCCCACAGCCGAACGCTTTTTAGATTTTCTCCTTAGCTCAAGGGACCTTTCCTATTTAGGGAAATGATTTTATTTTTATGTTTTATTTTTGAGTTGTTGGCCTGGAACTTGCTATGCAAACCAAGCTGGCCTCAAACTCACTGAGATCCAACCTACTTCTGCCTCCGCAGTGTTGAGGTTAAAGATGTAAACCCTACACTGAGTAGTATTTATTTATTTTGATTTAATTAAAATATAATTACATCGTTTCCTCCTACTCCTCCCATGTATGTCCCGCCCACATTCACAGGATGTATATATATTTTTTTAAAGATATATTTATTTATTTTATGTATATGAGTACACTGTAGCTATCTTCAGACACACCAGAAGAGGGCATTTGATTCCATTACAGATGGCTGTGAGCCACCATGTGGTTACTGGGATTTGAACTCAGGACCTCTGGAAGAGCAGTCAGTGCTCTTAACCACTGAGCCATCTCTCCAGCCCAGGATGTATATTTTTTAAAGAGTTTTTTAAAGTTTATTTTATGTATATGAGTGCTCTATCAGCATGTGTACCTCCATGCTAGAAGAGAACATCAGAACTTATTGTAGATGGTTGTAAGCCACCATGTAGTTGCTGGGAGTTGAATTCGGGACTCCCAGAAGAAGAGCCAGTGCTCTGAACTGCTGAGCCGTCTATCCAGCCTCAGGGCCTCTTTTTAAACCATTGTTGTTATATGTACATATAAATGAATAAATGGATAAACACAGCCTGTGAGTCTGTTCAGTGTTGCATTTGAGTACAAGTTTGCGGGGCTGGCCACTTGGTATTGGAACACCGAGAGCAGCTGTAAAACCAAAACAGGTATCACACTGATGTTAAAGAGCCAATGTCGTACATTGTTATTAGGTCTCCTACAAGAACATGGTTCTGCTTAAGCCTAGTGTATCCTGCAAACCATGTTTTTCAACCTATGCTGAACTTGTGACTCCATCATGTGTGCCCACCCCTTTGCCTAAAATAAACTCCTGAACCTGTGATATGATTGTCCTTTTGCCTTACAAAAATGTCTTCCTAGATACCTTGATGACTGTCTTTCCACATGATGTTTTCTTGCACTTCTTTTTATTGTCTCCTTTCTAACAGCCGATTATCCCTACATCTGTTTTCTATCAGCCCTAACCTTTCCCCATAAAAGGAACCTCAAAAGCCAGTGAGGGGCTGCTTTCTGAAATCCCAACTTGGGAGAGGCAGCCAGCTGGCCAGTTGTAAATACAGCTTGCTTTAATCAGACACTCAGGAATTGTTTGGTTTTCTTCCCCCGCCCCCCAGGTCTAAAAGAGGTTCATCCCCGGGGAAGACTAATTGTTCCTCCTTCTGCAAGAGCTAATTGATTGTAGCTCTTCATCTAGGAGCGAGACTCCATGAGCTTTCCCTAGCTACATTTGGACATGGACTGTGTTAGCTTCTACTAGGTTCCTCCCAGGGACCTAGCAAAGGCCAGCGCTGCCAGGTGATGGACTTCTCTCTCTCTCTCTCTCTCTCTCTCTCTCTCTCTCTCTCTCTCTCT